GATCAGCAGTTCAAACCCACCAGCTGCTAGCTGAGAGATCAGCAGTTCAAACCCACCAGCTGCTCTGAGGGAGACCGATGCGGCATTTTGCTCCCTAAAAGCTTTACTTCTTTGGAAACCCAATGGTGCAATTCTACTCTGCTCTACAGAGGCGCGATGAGTTGACAATGATTGTGTGGCAGTGAGTTGGGTTGCGGTGTCTCTGTCTCTCTCTCGATGAAAGCAAAGGGAAGTGGCAGAGGACACTCTTCATGGATACTCGAGCGACAGAGTTGACAGCAGTGAATTCAGCACATTAGAGACACAGAACTGAAAAGTCCCACTTTCCTCCTAGAATTTGTTTGTCAAGCTCAGCAAGCTATTTGGCACACAGGCGAATGTAGGATCTAGTGTCCTTTGCGTTGAATGAAGGTTATGTTCCCTTCATTAGTAAATGAGGTCCTTTTCTATTCTTGTTTCTTAACTAAAAATTAAAATTTATTACTGCCAGGCTAACTTTATAGAGGAAAAAGCAGGTCAAGCCTGGGTTTTATAGAAGAAAAAGAAAAACTGAAAATTTCCTTTGTGTGCCGAAAGAAGCTGAAAGCAGACTCCGCAGCCCAGTGTCTCTGCACCTGCAGTATACGTATATGCATGTGTTTAGCTCATTGAGATCCATGAGTGCCTGGGGATGAAAGAGAATCCTGCTTTCTGGGGATGTTATTAACAGGAGAGAGTGGCTAGGAGCTAGGAGGACCTGTGTGTGTGTTAGAGACACTGTCCAAAGAATCTCTCTTCCCCTCATTTCTCTCAGAGCCCTTGGGTTTCATAGACTGAGTCACTTCTCCAGATCCAGATATGAAAATCCGTAAGTGAATAGATGGAATTGGCCAGACCAGGACTGGATATGCCAGGGGTTAAAGGTCACAAGATATATGTTGTTGCTGTTAAGTGCTGTCGAGTCAGTTCTGTCTCATAGCAACCTTGTATAGGGTTTCCAGCATGTGGCTGGTAAGTTTGAACTACCAGCCTTGCCGTTCAAACCAACCTTGCAGTCCAGTGCTTATCCCCTAGCGCCACACCAGCACTCCCACAGACTGGATTAGCCTTCAATTCTCACAATTCAAATCTCATAAATGATGGAGATTTCAATCTCGTGACAGACTGTGTAAATGTCTTTCAACAATCAATAATAATAGTGAACAATGCCGCACTTAAGTTGTTTCAGGGCCTCCCTTTTCTAAGTTGAGACAACTAAAGTGCACTGAAATTCAGTAGCTTGAGTGAAATTATGGGGTTAGCAAGTGATGGACCTGGAGTTTGTACCCCACTTGCCTGGCCCCTGGAGCCACCACACTATGATCAATTGGGAGATTAGAGTTATTCCTTCATTGTCGTTGGTTGTCATAACTCTTGACGGGTCTCATCATTTTCTGCCAACGTCATCGATATTTATCCTGAAAGGACTTCCATGCCAGATTTTATGTTACTGTTGGTAGTTCGATGAGATTCAAAAGGTATTTTTGTGGGTTCTCTGCCATCCAGTGAAAGGTTATTAAACAGAGTATCAGCTGTATCTGAGGGTAAGTAATGTATTGAAATCAGCAATGCAACTATATAGAAAATGATCATCTTATCTGACCCAGAGCTATGTGTTTGCCTAACCAAAGAGAAGAGAAAAGTGATGATCGGTGAACCGGGAAGGAAAAGACAAAGGGATGAAATATACAAATGATATCAGACAAGTCATGTTGGTGTGTCAGTTCTCCAGCACAGCATGGGGTGGTGCTAGCAAACAGACATTTTTCCTGTCACAGATTAGGAGGCTAAAAGTCTGAATTCAGAGCACCGGTTCTGGAGAAAGGTCCTTCTTTCCTTTTAGCATCTGTAGGTTCAGTTATTTGGAGACCTCCATGTGTTTGACATCAGTGCAAAGGACACACTTCACTCCTGGATCTTTCTTGAAGATAATTAGTTAGGTGCCATCAAGTCAGTTCTGACTCAAAGCAACCCTGTATGGGACTTCTGAGGAGCAGAACCAACTTTGAAGCACCAACCTTGTGGTTAAAAGTGACCGTGTAGTCCAGTGCTTATCCTACAGCACCATACCAGGACTCAGTGGCGCTAATAGACTCCCCTTTTCTATGTCCACTTCTCCCTCTTTTTATCTCTTATAAAATAAAAGGCATTGCATACCACATCCATGGAAAACTATCTCACATCAAGTCAGAGTTATGATGGAATTGAGGTGTTTTTGGTATTTGCCTTTGAGTAGGTTTCAACTATGAGCAACCCTGTATAGGGTTTTCAAGGAGCAGCTGGTGAGCTTGAACCACTGACTTTTTGGTTAGCAGTCCAGTGTTTATCCTACAGTGCCACACCAAGACTAAGATACAGGACAATACAATACAGGTGGTCCCTGACTTGATAGAGTTCATTCCAATGACTCTGTCATGAGTGAATTCTTGTGTATCTCATTCTTAATCCTCTTACTGATTTGTAACATCAGATCACCCCACAGGGGATCATCACCTAACTGCCAAACCACGGAGAATCCTGGCCCAGTCAAGCTGGAATAGATTTTCTTTGTGTGTTGGGAAGTGCCAATGAGCTCAATCCGACTCGTATCAACCCTGTGTAGGGTTTCCCAGGCTGTAAACCTTTCTGGGAGCAGACAGCCTCATCTTTCTCTCAAGAGCAGCTGCCGGCCTTGAATCACTCACCTTGGGGTTCACAGTCTGATTACCCTAAAGAGCTACCGTGCCACAACACATATTTTGAGAG